ATTTAGATACAGAGATAGTTTTATTCAGAAGGAGCAGACTTCTCAGAAACCCAATGAGGAAAGCAGCCAGGGAGCCACTCTGACAAGCCCTTAAAACAGTGTTTACCCCGTCTTCTGTGATCAGATCGTTGTGTCACAACAGATCATTACTCTCTGTATTAAGGTAACCCAGTAAGGAGGATTCGTTCCTGATTTAAGCTGACTTTCACAGCAGTGACCTAGAATGCTGCATCCAGAGTGCTAAACATATTGTAAATGAAGGGATTCTGGTTTGCTTTCAGTTTGGGCGTTTTTTTGTTTGTTGTGGCTTTTTTTTTTTTTTTTTAACTCCTTCTCTCTCAGCCCCAGAAAAACCAAAACCATTAATTTTGCTGTGCTCCCAAAAACATGCAGTTAGGTGAATTTGGCCCTGGTTTTCACTGTCTGCTGGATAATAAAGACCTCTTGGCCTCTTGCCAAACCCCAGTCATCTCATTTTTAATCCTGAATCCCTGCTGCCTGCGTGTCTTCTGCATCCTTTCTAGCCCAAAGAGAAACTACGCTGCATCCCCCAATCTGACATCTGCTTTTCCTCAAAAGCCAGAGATTCTTCCTTCCTCCTCTCCTAGGTCAGGCAGCAGCAGAAACATTATCTTCTGCACCACTGTCTTGCCAGAAAGAAGAGCATATCATGTCCGTTAAAAAGAATTGGCTTTTAGAAAACTTGGGGGTGGAGGTATACTTACTTTTTTTTACTATTTATTTAGAAAACTCGGGGGTGGAGGTATATATGGAAAAGAGTAGATTCAGACTAGATAGTAGGAAGACATTCTTTACTAGGGTGGTGAGGCACTGGCCCAGGTTGCCCAGAGAAGCTGTGGCTGCCCCATCCCTGGAGGTGTCCAAGGCCAGGCTGGATGGGGCTTGGAGCAACCTGGGCTGGTGGGAGGTGTCCCTGACAAGGGCAGGGGGGTTGGAATGAGATGATCTTCAAGGTCCCTTCCAACCCAAACCACTGTATGATTCTATGATATTTCAAGTTTTGTATCTCCCTTTGAACTTCCAGAGATGTAGGAGGTGTTCCAGGCTGAGAAAAGCCATGCTTTTCTTTCCTTTCCCAGCTTCCCATTCCCTCTGTTCTTTACACTTACTGAGATATAAACTCAGGTAATGGCTGCTGCAAAGGGCCAGAGGAGGAGGGAAGCAGCCAGGAGAGAGGTACAAAACTGCATAAGGATGCTAAAGCTGGAGTCAGAGGTGACAGTGCTCTGGGCAAGTCTCCAGGCCTTGTTGGCACAGATGAGCTGTTGTTAGAAAGAGCGAGTGTTAGCAGCCTGAGTCAGACTCTCCCTCCTGCCCCAGTCCTTTCTGCTAATATTTATTAACTTGACCATTTCAGTATTAAAGACCCAACATAGCTGAGCTCTGATTCAGATTTCTTGGTAATAACCACCCCAAAGCATAACATTTCTCCTCCCAAGGTGGACAGAAGTCTGTGGAACGTCTTTGTCCCTGAAGGAAACAGGGAAATTCGCAGACAAACCATCCTGGCCGCCTTCACTTTCTTCCTTCTCCTTGTCCTGTGGAAACAGTGTTAGCAACACTTTCCATGGTGCTTCACCTCAGATCACCTCTTTCCTTGGATGCTTTCCTCTGAAACAGGGAAGATGGGTTACTGGAATGGCCCCAAGCCTCTCTGCTCACCTCTGGGAGGAATGGCAGTGAAAAAGAAAACCGGTTACATGGGGTTGTAGGTGATCTGCTCTGCAGGATTGATTTTTTGCTGGGCAGGAGGTGTCTCATCCTGGTAAAACAACGTGCAGCACTGAAGCTTGCTCATTCTAGAGGAAGCTGGTGCCTTGGCTAGTCTGTTCTGTGCAGGTAGTAGTAATGCTCTTGACACAGCTTCTCCTGACAAAGAACTGCACATTTGGGTCACCTTCTTTTCTTAAGTAGATGCAAGTTTATACTCAGCAAGCTTGTCTTTGTGATTACCACCCCAAATGTGTTTGTATAATCATAAAATGCTACATACCCTGGGGTTTCTTCATAGAACGGAATCATAGAATGGTTAAAGTTGTAAGGGACCTTAAAGATCATCTAGTTCCAGCCCCACTGCCTTGGGCCCCTGCCAGGTGTCCCACACCTTCCACTAGACCAGGTTGGTCAGAACCCTATCCAGCCTGGCCTTGGACACTTCCAGGGATGGGGCACCCACAGCTTCCTTGGGCAACCTGTCTCACCACCCTCACAGTAAGAATTTCTCCCTAATATCTAGTTGAATCTACGCTCTTTCTGTTTAAAAACATTACCTCTCATCCTATCACTACACTCCCTGATGAAGAATCCCTCTCCATCTTTCCTGTAGGCTACCTTTAGGTACCGGAAGGGCCAACAAGGTCTCCCCAGAGCCTTCTCTTCTCCATGCTGAACAACCCCAGCTCTCTCAGTCTGTCTTCATAGGAGAGGTGCTCCAACCCTCTGATAATCTTTGTGGCCCTCCTCTGGACCCACTCCAATAGGTCCATGTCCTTCTTTTATGTTGGGGACCCCAGAGCTGGACACAGTACTCCCGGTGGGGTCTTACCAAAGCAGAGCAGAGGGGCAGAATCACCTCCCTCACCCTGCTGGCCACACTTCTTTTGATGCAGCCCAGGATGCGGTTGGCTTTCTGGGCTGCAAGCAGACATTGCCTGGTCATGTTGAGCTTCTCATCCATCAACACCCTCAAGTCCTTCTCCTCAGGGCTGCTCTCAATCCCTTCTCTGCCCAGCCTGTATTGTGCTTGGGATTGCCCTGACCCGCGTGCAGCACCTTGCACTTGGCCTTGTTGAACTTCATGAGGTTTGCATGAGCCCACTTCGCAGGCCTGTCAAGGTCCCTCTGGATGGCATACTATCCCTCTAGCAAATCAGCTGCACCACTCAGCTTGATGTCATCTGCAAGCTTGCTTTCCCTTCCCTTCCCTTCCCTTCCCTTCCCCAGCGTAGACAGTTGATGTCAAGCTGAAACTGCAATTTAGGTGCATTATCATTTAGCAGACCTGTCAAGAGGACTCGGAAGCCTAGGGCTGTTTGGAGACATTTATGAGCTACAGATCCTAGCGTCTCCCTGCACCCGCCGTGGCTGCAGACACACTGCAGGTTTTTGCACTGCTGTGAACAGACAGCTGGCCGGGTGGGATACCCCCTGGTGGGCTCATCACTGGCACCTCGTCTGTCAGCCCATCTCCATCCCAGTCATCCACACCTCTCTCTGGCTGGTGATTTTTTTTGCACTCATTTCTGCGGTTTTGTCCTATCAATCCAGATTCATCCCCATGGACACCAGCAGAAAATTTCTGCCAGCCTTCACAGGGTCAGTGTCTCAGCAGCCCCCACATTTGGGAAGATAGCTTTGGCTTTTGCCGAAGTCAGAGAGAGCTAGACAGCCTTGGAGTCAGGAATCACATTTCTCGGCTGTTACACTGACTTGCTGAACACACACAGGGAGTTACGGATTCTTTGCAATGTTATGTAGAGTGAGGTTGATAATTCTTTCCCAGCGAGCAGAGCACCAGTGATTCATTACTAGTTTTGGTCGGTTTCTCAGTGATAGAGGATGGCGATACCTACAGAAGCGCTGACCTTGCTAAATCGATTTTGCAAACTGCGCATGAGAGAAGGGGCGAGAGGTACTGAAAGGAAGAAATATTCTTACTTTTGGGTACATCTGCTGACTGCCACCATGAAACCTGTGTTTTCCAGGGTTTTCCCCAGGCAGCACAGCCTGTCAAAGAAGCCCCAGAGACTTGGAAGCAGGCACCTGCTCTTTCACAGAGCAACATCAGCCACAGTGACCTACTAGAGAGAAAAGAGAGCAGAGTGTCTGGGATGGGGGAGAGGAGGAGAGGAGCCACCCCGTTAAATATGGGTTTGTGTGAAAAGTGAGATCAAAGTATCAGAGAGAAAATAGTGATGTGTTTGAAGGAGATGAGGAAAACAGACGAGGAAAAAACAAATTGGGATGATGAGGAAAGTGGGCAAGAGAGGACCAGATTTTAGATTTGAAGATAAATTAGACTTCCTGACTTTGGTGTAAATATGTCAGAAGAGGAAGTCAAACTCAAAAATTAGAATAAAATAGAAAATGAGACATTTTAGAATTATGCTGACACTTTTCATGTCAATATAAATAGTGCTATTTGGTACAGTAATAGTTTTTCTGTTTTGTGAGTGTGATTCACTGCATCTCAGATAGTGAGGGGCTTTGAATATTGTTGCCTGAATAAGCTGAGTCCATACATAAAAATTGAATTATGAAAAAAAAATGCAGCATTGATAGACAGCTCTTGAACAATCTGCAGGGAAATACGAGATGTTTGTGTGAAGCCTTTTATGGATGACGGCATTCATCCAGCAGCTATACAACTCCGTAAATACATTTATACAACTCTATCTTCATGACTGTGGAGTATATAGGATGGCCTCCGCCTATATGAGGGCACAGTGCTGTGAACCAGTTTGCCTCTCTGCCTGTCTGGAAGCGTATGCACACAGACATACTTGCAGCTAAGTAAATAATTATATATAACTGGTTTATGCACCCTACTGCTTCATAGGTACAAAATGATTGCTGGGAAATGATCCTGCAGACCTAATGTATCATATCGCTGAATGTTGTTACGGCATTGATCATATCCATTCCATAAAAGGTAGGTTGCAGACTGATTCTTGTTTTTCTTTTTCTCCTTGAATCCTAGCAGAAAATGGACCCCGTCTACTTGTGGTAGCAGAGCAAGCTAAAATCTTCTCACACCGGGGTGGCAATGTCACACTGCCATGTAAATTTTACCATGAACACACATCAACAGCTGGCTCAGGAACCCACAAAATCCGGGTCAAGTGGACCAAACTCACCTCAGATTACCTCAAAGAAGTGGATGTCTTTGTTGCGATGGGACACCACAGAAAGAGCTACGGAAACTACCAGGGCAGAGTGTTTCTGAGGGAAAGCAGCGAAAATGATGCCTCTCTCATCATCACAAATATAATACTGGAGGATTACGGGAGGTACAAGTGCGAGGTGATTGAAGGATTGGAGGACGATACAGCAGTGGTAGCTCTGAATTTGGAAGGTAAGTAACACCTGAATTATACCTAAATTCAGCTTTGCACTGTGTTAAGGGATACCTGCTTTTTCTCCTAGTACTGATGATATTGTATTATCGGTGACAACAGCAATCTGAGAAGTGGGATTCATCGTGCTCTGGGGATTGTGGCCTGACAGCCCATGACAATGATCATAAATTAGAAGAGCATTAGGACTCCTACAGCTTATGCCAGCCTATGGCATATTCAGCTCCCAGTGAGACCCAGTGTGAAGGGAGCCAAAAAACAACGACCCAATACAGTATAAAGAACTCCATATGTTTTTAATTTGCTCCTATCACTTTACAGAATCCATTGCATGTTTTTACAGTTGACAGGCAAAATTATATTAAATATTCCCCTAATAGCCATTTTACAGAACTTCTGGACATTTTAGATTATTGAGCAAATACGAATATTCTTACAAAGAATAAAAATGTTAAAGGAGTTTTCCGGAGACAATGTTTTTGTTTTTTCCAGCCTTATAATTACATAAAATAGACCTCTATATTGCCTGCCAAGACAACTCTTACATGTAGTCTGTAGTCGTTTCCCTCAGTGATATTCTTGAAAACAGTAGAGTACAAGGCATTAGAAAAAAGAAAAAGTGAAACAGGTTTAAAGAGGACAAAAAAAATCAGCCTTCCTTTACTCTTATGAAATTCAGATAAATTTTATGAGATGTAATGCATGTAAACCAGCATTTGGCCTTTTTCCTCAAAACGCTGCACTGAACTCAGCAGAAAGCTAAAAGTTGCATGAAAATGTCTCCCTTACACTTACCAGCAAGTGTGTGCCAGAGAGAACTTTATAGAAGCCATCCTATCTGTGAAAAGCAGGTAGGAAGAAAACAGAAAAAAAAAAAAAAAAAAAAAAAGAAGAAAATCATCCCCTTAGCTCTCACACCTGTAAACAGGTGAAATATATAACTCTTTCATTGAAGGTTATTGTCTATTATGATGGTTATATAGTTAAACTACACGATGAGACTGGCTGAGTGGTTCTTGGAACCAAACAGATGTCATGGGCTTAGCTCACTTCTTTACATCTATTTTTCCATTCCTGGTTGGAGGCTGCTGAAAACTTCCATTTCTGAGTGCAAAAAGGCCCTGCACAGTTTCCATGCCAGCAGGACAGTCGATTTAGGTTGTTTCACCTCACATAATCCATCTTTAATAAGAATGCATACTGTTCTTTTTAAACTTAGGATATAGATGTGCAGTTTAGGTTGTCTAAAACAGTTTTGAGTGAAGACAGAAATGAGTAGGAGGAAAAAGCATTTTACTTTATGCTTCTCTGCTAGCCAAAAGTTCTCATGTGTCCAGCCTCCTCTTCGCTGGGGCAGGTGCTGCAGTGGTTGCTCGTTGCAGCTGCTGTAATTGAGATGAGCCTCTGAAGGGAGAGCAGTTTCAGCTATTTCCTGCACGTGAGGAATAGCAAGTGGCACATAATCCAGGTCAGAGACATTCAGCATATGTTTACCTGTGTTTGTCCCCAGCATGTCTTTTCTCGCGCTGTTGTGCAGATCGTCCTGGAGTCCACCCCTGGCTTGCAAAGATGTTCAATAATTCAATAATATTCTTCTGACAGTCTCCTTGGATCCTAAGTACATACCTCTACCAGGCTTTGAGATACTCCAAATAAAAAACTGTGTATCTTCTTCCCCATCAGATGCTGGGATTTCCCTGTGCTTTATGGCATTATGATATTTTTCCCAATGTAAAAGGGTCAGAGCCAGTGTAAAATCTTCAAAGTGTTCGTCACACCACACATCTGGACCAGATACTCATCTGGTGCCACTTAGCATTGTACTTCTGCTATTAAAAGTGAGGACCTTCCAGTACAAATGCTTTCTGCTGTGCCAGGAGTGCTCAGGGAAGGGGAGATGCTAATGGCTGTGGTGGCAGATCAGGAAGTTTTACTCGAAACTTGGTACGTATACTTGTGCCCCTGCAGAGCGCCACATTTGAAAGGCAGTATTTAATTGATACTAGAGTAAGAAAGCCATTAAAAGTCTTTTCTTTACTGCACACAGTAACACAACAAAAAGGAGATTTTCTACTTCTTTTACTGGGACTGTTTCGTGATATAGCACCAGCCCAATGTATGCAAGGTCTGGGTCTCACCTCCTGATATACACTGTCCCCTCTAGCTTACTGCTGTTCCTCTGAAGAGTGTTTCTCTTCGGAGTATGCCTACTGCAGCCCACACTGTACAACACCACCACTCCTTCCTGTTTTCCCCCACCTCCAGAATGAGGAAATTCATAAGGATAGGAGGAGTTATACTTCTTCAACCAAGTATGTTCCAATCTCTGCTCAAAGAAAATTTTATATACTTTGACTAGTGTCAGGTTAACATGAAGAACAATGTCTTTTTAATGATTTTTGTCATACATGGGACAGGTATAAGACTGTTAATTTATGACATTATAGAGTGATGTTTCCTAAACTGACAGGAAAATTTCTTTTGCAAAACCTCATGATAAAATTAAGCCTTTCAATTGAGATAAGACTAGTGAGTATGTCAGTGTCAGTCCTGCTGTGGCCACTAACTCCAACAATTCTGGGTCTAAGTTACATTGAATTTTCCTTCTAAAATGATAATGGTTGAAATACATTATTTTCACAATGGCCATATATAGTTGATGGAATGTGTTCCTCTGCATGCCCCTGTGCTTATTTTTTCATCCCATCTGCAGCTTTATGTAGTGCTGGCTTTAAATGCTGTTTCATGTATTTGAGCAATGCAGAACAGATCAAGGAAAAAAAAGTCAGTCTTTGGACAAAAATAAAAATACATCAGCCCATTCCAACATTCTACATCTGTTATAAATAATAAGGCTAATCTCACAGTGGGAAGGATTTGCATCAATAGCCTGATGTCCTGAGATGGTGGCCCTAAGGATGTTAACTGGCAGCAAGACAAAAC